GAAAAAACTTTTGTAGTGCCCCATGTATATGTACAGTTTGCTCCTATAAACAATATGTAAAAAAGCCTTTCGTTCAATTTAGACGGAAAGATATTTGAAGATTTCATTCATATTTATTATTTATCTTTAGAAGATAAATAAAGATTTTCACCTTTAACTATTTCAATATGACAACAACAGATTCGTCTCGACTTATTCTTATTACTGGTGCTGCTGGTGTCATTGGTAGTTATTTTGCCAAAAATGCTGATAAACAAAAATATAAACTTCGATTAATGGTTTGTACACCATGTTTTAAAATTTGTATCTGATTTTGTTTTGTTTTGTTTAGGTACACCCTTCAAATCCACCAGAAGAAGTTGAATCATTAAAACTACATGGTGAAGTTGTCGAAGCGGAATTGGGTCAAATAGAAACATTAATGAATGCATGTGAAGGTGTTGATACAATTCTTCATCTAGCTGGACAACCAGATCCAAATGCCAGATGGGATTCATTATTAAAAGACAATATAGAAGGGTATTAATTTGAGTAATAGTATCGTATTCTTCTCAAAAAAATCTATTATAGGACATACAATATATTTTTAACTGCAAAAAAATCCAATGTAAAAAGAGTGATTTATGCTAGTTCGATTCATGCTATATCAGGTTATCCTATAGATACACAAGTGAAAACAACTGATCCAGTTAAACCAGGAGATCTTTATGGTATTAAATGTTTGAATAATCGAATTTTATGTTTTTCAATTTGTTGATTAGGTGTAACTAAATGTTTTGGTGAAGCCCTTGGTTGTTATATGGGTGAACAAGAAGGACTTTCAACAATTGCAATACGTATAGGTGCATTTCAACCTTATTCAAGTTTAAAAGATGACTCAAAAACTGGTTTATTATTGGATGCTTGGTTATCACAGCCAGATGCTGTTCAATTATTCGAAAAATGTATTGATGCACCGGCTAATCTAAAATTTGCCATTGTACATGGTCTTTCGAATAATACATTTAAACGAATGGATGTCAATTCAACACGTGTATTATTGGGTTATGATCCACAAGATAATTTTTATGAGGCACATGAGAATTATGAACCGTTAAATATAAGAAAAACATTACGTCTACGTAATATGAAGTAGGTATAATTTTGATTTTGATATCAATGTTGTTTTTGGTTTTATTATAGGGATCCACTACAAACATCTGGTCTGCGAGATAAATCACCCGAATGAAAAAGTGGAGATCGCACAAAGAAAATAATTAGACAGTTTTATATATTTGGTTTTCGTTTTCAATAAAAAATAAATGCGGAAGCCTTGGACTTAAATCCGAGCGTTATGTGTACTTCAAAAAGCAGAAATAGAAATTCACTTTGTTTTTCATCTGAATATTGTCTGTCATACACAACAAAGCTAGAACTAACTAGCGGGATTACGGTCGTAAGCAGCCTCATGAATCTATAAGACATAAATGATAGATAGAGACATCAGTATTTTCATAATAGCTCACCAATATGATTAGCTATCGAGTTCGGTTTTTTTCCATTCGATAGTCTTTTTTTCTATTCGATAGTCACCTTTTTAGTAGCTACAAAACCATACATCTAGGAAATCCCAAAACCACTTGTCACGTATCTAGGCACATTGGTCTCGGGATACAGTTTTTGTGTGTTTGAGATCGTTTTTAGACAACTTTTGGTTACAAAACCGCGATTTGATTCAAAACTAACATCATATTCGGAATCAGCTCTAAAAACTGAGTCGACTCATATATGTTTTAAATAATTCTGAGAAAAATTTGTTTTTTGAAAAACTCCCTGTACCCTCACCCTCAGGGATGGTCGGGTCAATAATGACAATTTTTTGATAACTCAGCCATTTCTTGACGAATCATTCTCATCTTCGAACTCGATCGAGATATTGATGAGACAATTCTGTGTACAAAATTCCAGCACAATCGGTCGTAGTTGGGAAGAGTTGGGTATCTGTACTTAACGGTAACACCCCAAAACACCCGACTTTTCAAAACAACGAGAAATCTCATCTATACACCCCCACAACCCACTGAGCTAAGTACAAAAACACCCACGAACACCCATTTTCGAAAATATTTACACGTCTGATTTCTTCTCTAGAGGCTCGATTTTTAGTCGGAAAGCATTAACACCCAGGAGCACATTCCCAAGCCATATCACCGCACCAAAAAACACCCAGACACACTTACAGTCGCATCAGATCTAACAACTAGACTGTA